CTTGTGATTCAAAACCTCAGGACACTTGTTGCATTGCCTGCTTACTCACACACTCGAGCGTTTGCGCGACGGTGGAACTGTTTTACGTTCAAGTTGGCGTTAGGCGGCGAGATTCATCGGTTCCAGGAGAGGCCGCGTTATGTCACGGCGTCGCGTTGCGCAACGCGATACTACCCACCTCTATGTTGGGGATGGTGGATTCGAGTTGCCGCCGTTACATCGCAAGGGTTGCAGAGTTGACCGATCCAGTGCACGCAGTTCGCCTTTGACGGTTCATGCCTTTAATGTGTGCACGATTGGTACATGTTACGACGCGTAGCCACAATTTGCTGTGCAAAGTTGATTGGAAGTCGACCTTCCTGTAATCGGGCGAGAATAATACGCGAGGTTGCGGAACTTCCAAAAATTCTGCTGAAAGGCATGCGATCGCAACTCGCTAATTCGAAAGTCATTTACATTTATTTATTATAAAATCTCTGAATTTCTTGATTTATAAGAATGAGTAAAAACCAAACAGATACTTTAAGGATTAAAAAGGACTAAAAATTAAATCTAAATTTTGTTTACTTTGTATAATAATTATTTCATCATATTTAAATATACATTTTCTAATACAAAATACAATATTTATTGGATAAGTGTTCATCCTTCTGTCAACCATGTTGTGACATGTATTATTTTATCATCATCGAGAAATATTCTAGTCGTCCGATTAATTTATCTCTTTATTGCTATTACCCTAATACCCGCTATCCCTTTAAATCCAAATTGAAACATCGATGAGTTACAAATCGATTCAAGATATAATACATGCATCATCTCATTTTCACCTGAGGAATGCATCTCTTTTTAATTCCTCTTTCTCCCCCCGAGTTCTTCGCAAAGTTTCAGATAAATCTTATCGAATTATTACTTCTTCTCCTACATAAAACCGATGCAGTTATAACGCGCACGTACACATTAACCTCCATCGGCTTTCTCGGCCTCTCGCGGAAGCTGCTATCCTCCTTGATTAAGTTATGCCGCCCTCCTCCACCTCCTTGGAGAGAAACGTTTCCTATTAAGGGGCGGGGAACATCCCTCCGGCTGAACACCTTCTCTCGCAGAAGACATCAAAGTTCCGTTATACCGCTCATGAATTTTCCCCAGTGGGCGTCGCACGTAAAACGGCGCCACGTGACAGCGATACGTTCCGGAGACGAGAGCGGGAAGGCCATTCGCGCGCATATTAACGCGTCGATTGACAATAGCAATTGCGTATTATTACCGCGCGAACGTGTACTTGGGTGCGAACGCTTCGGCCGGGTGGAATTGGTTAATTACCTGACCCGAACGGCGTTTCTGTTATGAATAACAGGAATAACGCTCGAGAAATTAGATGCGGAGGATCCGGTCGATACTGGGTCCTATCTCGCTCTAGATCTTGCCAATATCTTCATTGCATTTTTAACACGAAACGTACTTTTGTATTAACAACTTTTATTGAAACTGTATTATTCGCGCAGCACTCTTTAAACATCGGGTCACGATTATCCTAAAACCTCGATGCGCGAAATTTATTTTCTCGTAGGAGACTTTATCTCGACTTTATCTATGAAAATTATATTAATAATAGGAACTAAACGTATCTCTATCTTCTTCCGAAGATAATTCACAATGGATCATAAATTTAAATGTTTTTACAATTAGGTTAAAGCTTAGGCTAAAAATATTGTAGTATTAAAGTTTGATCAAATGGCTGAAAAGAGAGAACAGAGATTTTTTTTTTTTCAAATGCATATGAGATCAAAGTTTGAATTGTTCTAAAGAGAGTGTTCCTCTCTCTACGTCTGTTGCAGATCACAGAGACGTACGCGTTTCTACCCCGAGAAGCGGTAACACGATTCCTACTGGGTTGCACGGAGTGCCAACGGCGTCCGCGGACGCCCAGTCCAACGAACTTATCTAATCAGTCACAGTCCACGGCAGCAGCAGCAGCAGCGGCAGTAGCAGCAGCAGCGGCAGCAACGCTGGCGTCGACGTCAACCTCGCTGAGTCCGAATCCCGGTAACGCTCCTCTCGCGACCTCGACGTCGACGACGACGACTTCGTCGGTGCAAAATACCCCTAAACCACGCAACAGTGGCCAACACGCATCATCGGAAGGCAAGAACTTGCATAACTACAGGCACCAAAAGCAGCAGAAGAATAGCAGCGGGAGTGTCGCTGCGGAGACGAAAGACAAAGACAAAGATGAGAAATACAATCCACTAAGTATCACGAATCTACTAAAGAAAGAGCCAGTGAACGGCGGTTATCTGGCGAGTTCGGAGACTTTGCCGGAATCTCGGAGAACACCAGAGTCCGATCGGGCGAGCTCGAAGAGTTCAGCATCGTCAAAGAGAAAACGGATGCTACCAGAGGGACGGACACCTTCGCCGCAGCCTAGTCAGCCATTACCGAGGCCTTGGAGTCCTGGGCTGGACCCGAAGAACACGCCCATTGATTACAGTTTGCCTATCACCACGTCGTACCTGAAGCATCAGCAGAGACTGCTCCAGGAGAAGAGCAAGGCAGCCGCCGCCAATGCGCTGAGGGAGTCCGAGACAGAGTCAAAGACCGTTCCGACCATCGTGACGCCGCTCATTGAAGAGGTGGAGAGTGTCGAGAGGGAGAGGTACTCACCAGCCACCGGCCTGATCGACACGAACCTCAATCTACTGGCGACTATTCAGCATCTGCATTGTCAAGTAATGCTGGCGCTCACCGAGCGATTGAGACCATCATTCACGGTGCCGAGCCCTCTAATTCTACCACAGACATCCCCGAATATGCTCGCGGGCACGATGATGATGGGCACGGAAGTATCGGTCCAGACAGGGGAAAATCATTCGTAAATTAATCGATGCGAGAGAGAAGAGAATCGCCCATCCGACCGCTTCTCGCACAGATTAATCTTCCCTCGAAGATAAAAGAGATAATCGAGCTCGTTGTCAAGAGACGAGAAAAAAATTAGTATCGTCGCGAGCAGAATCAACTTTATTATTCAATAATACTGCCTGAAAAATCTCGCGCATGTCGAGATTATAATTCATTCTAGACGAAAGTCCGCGATAAAAAGATTAGCCGTTCAGACAACGGAAGTCTGCTGTATTTTCCGCAAAAAGACACGCGTTAAAATTCGACCGCCCTATTTGCGTCATTTCAGTCACAGTCACGCGGCTACGTTGCACACCCGAGGCTTCTTAAAACGTAAAATGTCGATCGCGGTCGCTCTTCATCTTTAATTCGTTCCTAAATAGGTATCCGTTTGACGCGCGCGATTATGGACACAGCAACGACGACCGCTCCGACCCTCCCGCCTTTCGCCGAGAAGCGAAAACGACAGACGCAATTACATATTGAACCGGACGGGATCGATTATTGTCGTCGTGCTCGTGTCACACATTTCATCCGATCGGGCCGACCGGCGGCCTGACGCTTGCTTGCGTCCGACGTCGGTTGGCGCCCGATATAGACGACGGGCCAAGCGAGCGAAATAATTTCCCCGAGTCTGTCGAAATACGGGTCGATGTGTCAGGGATTCACGCGGCGCTTTCTGTGTCCGATATTTAGAGATCCGTTACGCGAAGAGCGGATCGCGATCCGGCCGCCGCCGGACTCGACTCCGATCGATCCATCCAGGCGAGGCAAAAGCGACAGTCCGCGCGGCGACACCGCGAAGGACCTGAATATTCAACGAGCTGGCGAGATGGAGGATAGGAGAGAGAGAGAGAGGAACGAGCAGTGGGGAAGAAAAAGAGAGATGTAGAGAAGGAGATCCGATTTCTCGTTTTCGGGTGTCACTCGACGAATCCGACAATATTCGCCGTTGTT